AAAACAACTTGCAGCATGAACCGAATAGCAAGGATCACAATGAGGTACCGCCTCGTGTATAATGTGATCAAAATCGAGGTACCGCCTCGTATAATCAAGAATCACAACCAAGATACAACCTTGTATTTACTTTTCTCAATTTCAAGCGCAATCTTTCATTATACTGCTGCGTGAGCCTTACATTTGAAAATAGGTTTTGAAAAAAGTTTTTCCCGAAATAGCTACACGTACTTTAGCCCACCTTATGATGCCGCATGGCTTCACATAGTTCCCCTACAAGTAACACACACATAAGTACCACCTTATACTGCAGCATGTATGTCAACCCAAGCCTTATACCGCAACATGCACATCAATATTATATCACAATAACAATTCGCACTACAAGTGCCCACATATCACAACTTGCCAACAACAACAATATCAAAGTTTCCTTAACAGTAGCCCATGGCTCCACTACAATGTATACAAGAATATCAACAACAACAGTAGATGAAAAATTCTCAATAATATAGATGTTTCAATAATAACCAACATCGCCTTGACATATTAACGACTTTCACAACTTCAACATCAAATAACTCAACAATGAGAAGATAATGTATAACCACGATATTAGATAGGACTAACCTACAATAAAGTAAACAATATTCAACAATGAGTCTCAAATAATGGAAATCAACAAGTAAAGGGGTAACACTAACAATTAATTCAAACAATGATAATTAACAATGAAGAGAATACATGTAACAATAAAGGAGATAACAAGTTCAACTAAGGCATAAGAGCAATTTAGCAAGTAGGATGTATAACAAATACTAAACAAGTCAACTAAGAAATTTAAGGATAGTCTAACACAATTAAGAATAATTTGACTATGAGAATTTAGAACATAATATGACATTTCAATAAAAGCATAAAATTAGTCTAAGTAGCCAAAATCAATCAAATACTACGTATAACCTGTATACCCACTCGTCACCTTGAGAACACAGATTTCACTTAGCACAATTAAATCAAACAACACCAATCCTAAGGGGTAGTTCACCTATACGAAGTTAGGCAAGATACTTACATCAACTACGCCAATTCAACACTCAGAAATAGCTTTTCCATTAAAATCCGCCTCCACACGGCTCAAATCTAACCAAAATTGTCTCAATATCATCAAACAATACTAGGGAACTCAATTGCAATAGATAACGTTAAGATCTTTACACTTTTCCCAAAAACTCAACAAAAGTCAATCCGGGGCCCTCCCGGTCAAAACCCTGGTCCAATGGTAGATTCTGTGCACCCATGACCCCACGAGTCCATATATGCGATTAGTTTCAAAATTCGAGTCCAAATCGATTCTCAAAATTCAATTTCTTATTTTTCAAAAACTTGACAAAGTTTCATAAATTTTACTTTGATTCACATGATTTTGATGTTAAAATGTAAGATATGTTGATGGAATATGATTAGAAATAGATTAGAATCACTTACTCAAGACTTGAAGGTGAAAATCTCCTCTCTAAATCGCCTCCTACCGAGTCTGATGTTTAAAAATGAGAGAACGAACTCAAAAATCCCGTCCCTCAGCTATTTGTCCAATCGCAAATGTCGCAAATGTGACCCAGGTTTCGCAATTGCGAACCCCAAAAATGTGAAAAATCACTTACAGAAGCGAAGACCATCCCATCTTTATTATCATCGCAATTGCGATGAAAACTTCCCAATTACGAACCTTGAACCTCCGCAAATGCAACCATGTAGATCGCAAATGCGAACAAGCTCTCCCCAGGTGATTATCGCAAATGCGAACACGCGGCTCGCAAATGCGAACCCAACAGACTTGGCCCACCTTCACAAATGCGAACCAAAATCTCGCAAATGCGAGATCCGAGGCCTGCAGAAAACCAACAAATTTTAATTCCAGCAACACTCCCCTAAGCATCCGAAACTAACCCGAGCCCTCGGGGCTCCAGAAAAAACATCCACACAAGTCTAAAAACATCATACGAACTCGCTCGTGCTATCAAAATACAAAAATAACATCTAAAACTACGAATCAAGTTCTAAAATGCATGAATTTCAAAGAAATTTTGAAGAACTTCTAGAGTTATCATTATTGATTTTGAATCTCCTTATGCTATGGTAGATTGAGTGGAGTTGTTTGAAGAATTACGTGGAAGGTATTAAGGAATCAACGAAGTTAAGGTACGTTAGGCTATCCCTTCTTTCATTTTGGCATGGTCCATATGATACAAGCAAAATGAGCAAACACAAAACTTTCACAAATGACTCCATTCTTAGAAGTATTAGGGGTGCCTATATTCTTGATTCTCCATGTGCCCTATTATTATATCGTCTATTCATGGGTCTCATAAAATACGTAAGTTGATAAAGTTTATTTCATGATATTAACCGAAGACATATTGATCTTATGACATTCTGAGAGATCTTATTAACTTACTTCTTATGCATTGCATTCATTTATACATGTACATTGAACCATGACTAGATGACATTATATACGCATATATTATATTATAGACGATAAGGAATCACAGAAATGAAGTTTTCCTAACAGTTCTGTAGCCTCTCAAAGATAAGTACAGACGTCTCCGTACCAATCCGTAAGACTACATTAAACCTGCTTATGACTCGTTACACCTATGAACCTAGAGATCTTATACCAACTTGTCACGACTCCAATTTTTCCTCCGAAGGATGTGGTGATGGAACCTAGTCTTTATGAATAGGTAAGCCTAACAAATAATAATAACTAAACTGCTATAAATTTAACAAGTTATTGAAAGCAATTGAATAATATATAAACCCTTCCTAAAAATAAAATCTCACAATACACACCCCAAAACCCGTGGAACTAAGTCATAAAATCTACAGAATATGACTAGAGTACTACTACATCATTGTCCGAAAGAAAATGCAACAGAAAGTAAAATCGGGAAGGTGACTCCGAGGCCTGCAGACGTGGAACAGGTGTACCTTGAAGTCTCCCAAGCAACATCTACAACAATCCTCTATCGACCGACACGAGTAGACATAACTGGATCTACAAAAAATAATGTGCAAAAGCATAGTATGAGTACACCATAATGGTACTCAGTAAGTATCGAGCCTAACCTCAGTGGAGTAGTGACGAGGTCAGGTCAAGACACCTACTAGGATATAAGATAGACAATATAAAATTTGCACTACAAATATGTAATGGAAAGTGAAGAAACAACTAATACGGAAAGATAACTGCAAGAACTAGTACCAGAAACCAACAATAGATATAACACAATGATCATGTACAGATAACAAGTACTAGAACAAATAAGAAATGGCATAGCAAGACATATTTTCCACCAAAACACCATACAACATGAAACAAATAGCAAGAATCACAACGAGGTACCGCCTCGTGTATAATGAGATCGAAATCGAGGTATCACATTGTATAATTAAGAATCACAACCGAGGTACCGCCTCGTATTCACTTTTCTCAATTTAAATCACAATATTTCCTTATACCGCCACGTGAGCCTTACATTTTAAAATAGGTTTTGAAATAGTTTTTCCCGAAATAGCTACACGCACTTTAGCCCACCTTATAATGCCGCGTGGCTTTACGTAGTTCCCCAAAAAGAAACACGCACATAAGTCTCACCTTATGCCGCTGCATGCACATCAACCCAAGCCTTATACCGCCACATGCACATCAATATCATATCACAATAAATTTTGCATCACAAGAGCCCATATATCACAACTTGCCAACAATATCAATGTGAGCACGTGATTTGCTCGACTAGAAATACTCCTACAAAAATTAAAAAATAGGTTTTCTAAATTATTTTTAGTTTTATAGGATTTTGTAGGATTTTCTTAATTAATTGTTTGTATTTTTGTGCACTTTTAGGCTTTAATTGCATTTAAAATTTAATTGTATAAGTTAATTGCATTTATTAAATAAAAAATCACAAAATGGTCATATTACATTTTATCCTTAGCTTCAAATTAGTAATTTCATTTCATTAGTTTTAAGTTGATTAATTGTTCAAATGTTAGAAATAGTCAATTAAATTTATTTCACAAATTAGATTTGATTTAGGATCTACTTTAGGTTTTTAATTAATTAATTTAGAATTTTTTTTTAAAAATCAAAGAAAAAGGAAAAGAAAGAAAAATTGGCTTGGGTCCCTATTTTTGGCCACCAAAAACAAATTCAGTGGCCCAATTTCCATATCTTTTAATTTAATTTCGCCTCAGCCCAATTAAAACCAAGCCGGCCCAGTTCCCCACTCTACTGAAACGACCATGTTTCACGTCATTTAATCCCAACCGTTGGATCATTTTGATCCTACGGCTCGCAACTCCTCGCCCTTTTCCTTTTTAACTGTCTGAATACCCCCCAAACCCTAAAGATCCTCTCCATTCTCTCATCTCCTCCCAAATTCCTAACCCTAGCTGCCCCCAAACCCTTCACCTCCATAGGCCGGCGGCGCTAGCGTAAACAACCCAAAATCTGCTCAAATTTATCCCCCATAATCCCCAACGCCTACTAAACCTAAATCCATCATCATTCTGTTCAAACAAACACCCATGTTCTCCGAAATTTATATCTAGGAATACATCTCCTCTTCTTTTTTTTTATTTTGGCAGAAATAAAAATTGTGACACAAAGCATTAGCATAAAAAAATTTTGGCCAGTGCTTGCGTCATTATTTCATAGTTAGCCGAAAATTTAGTTTGAGATGTGTATTTTTTCTTCAACAAAGAAAATCATCAGATTCACCCATGAAATGGCAAAATTTTGCAACAATGGCCAAAAATTTGTGTTTGACTAATCATTTTATTTTTTATCTTTTATCTTTTATTATTTATTTTTCATTTTTTGTATTATCATTGTTATTATTATTTTTTATTTTATTTATTTATTCTTTCTTCTTCTTCTTCTTCTTCTTCTTCTTCTTCTTCTTCTTCTTCTTCTTCTTCTTCTNGCAATCTTTCCATAACTGCTTAGGAATATTCTAGGAAAGTGAGGCTTGGGAATGAATAAGCAAATAGTACAAAAATTTAGGTAAAAAACTGTGCAAAAACAGATTTCTTAAGGGGTGGTTTTGAATTTGGAAATTATGAATTGTTGCCATAGAAAGAGTGTTATAAATACACACTATAGGTTAGGAGCAAAGGACACACGACAGAAAACATCACAAAAGCTCACTCAATTTTTTTTCCAGAATTTGAAGCTTCTTCTTTAGCTTTCAAGTTTTTTTTTTCTTTTTTTTTCTGGGATTTATAAGAGGAACAGATTCTTGAAGTTGTGGTTTTGGTTTCTTCTGCTGAATTTTCACTTAATTTCAGGCTAACATTTGGTTTATTTAGCTGATTTGGTCACATTTAGGTATGTTCTTCATCTTGTAATCACCTAGTTTTAAATCAATAAATGCAAATATGAGATTTTAAATATTTTATCCTATTTTAATTAGTTTGTTTGTTTTGTTTATATCCATGATTTCCTATTTGGGTAATGTTTGTTTAGGGACATGTGTTTGAATATTTGCTTCATTTAGTTTAGTATATGAAAAGCTTGAAAAAATAAGCTTTGATGTAGTAAACACATGAGTTTTTCCTAGATTTGTTTCTATTGGTTAAATTTTGTTACATTTTGTTCTGTGTTTCTCTTATCTTCTTTTCCTAAGGAACGAGTACTACCATAAGATTATCTTATTGGAAATTTATATATTTATTTAAGTACTGAAAGCGGCTTATCTTTGGGCTTTCCCCATTCTAGTCGTCTCCTCTTATTATATGAATATAATATTATAATTTTGCAATATTTTTACGCAACAAATTAGTTTATAAACAAGTTTGATGTCAATAGTTGAAAAGCAAAAAGAAAAGAAAAACCTGTACATCTTTACAATTGTTTGTCATTTCTTTTTTTCATGTAGTATATTTATATTACTAATATTCTCGACTAGTTTACTGTTTCACTGTTTATAGTTGACGGATATTTAGTCTAATTGCTTATTTTTAGTTTCAGTTAATTAGCATGCCTTGAATTCCTTGGTTAATTCTTTTGGCATTAAGACATGAGTTTTGCTTCACTGTTGACGTATTTGGAATGGTTGTTTGTATTAAGAATATGGGCTCAAAGCTTAATCAGTAATTAAATTACTTCCTAATTGGGCCATATACTAATATCTTGAAAGATGATTTGGACATTCACTAGAAATGATTGGACTTTAGGAATAAATTTGTACTGATAAGAACGATTGGATTAATTATTGTATTGCTATCCGTTGGGCATACTCCTATATATTTTAAGGCGAATTGAGAGAGCCTTTTGGTAGTCAAGTCCTAAATGGTCCATTAGCCATTAATACATGCCATCTACAAATAAATTCCATAATTTATGGTTGTAATGATCCAACCGGTCGTTTCATGAGTTACCGCTCCGTTTTTCCTATTTCTGCTTCTTTATATGTTGTTTAGCTATATTTCATCACATCGTGTTGGTTAGTTTGGGTTCGGAGTGGTTTTGTAGAGAAATGAGACACTTAGTCTCTTAAGTTGGCCTTTTAGTTGGAAAAGTCAATCAGAAGTTGACTTGTGAGTAAACAATCTCGGAATTTGGTTGTTATGATTCAGATAGTTTAGGGAGGTGATTTAGGACTTATGAGCGTGATCGAAATAGGTTTTCGAGGTCTGGGGTAGATTTAGGCTTGAATTAGCGAAAATGAAATTTTGGCATTTTTCGGTTGGTGGTGGAGATTTTGATATCAGGGTCGGATTGAAATTCTAGAAATTGAAGTAGGTCCATTGTGTCATTTGTGACGTGTGTGCAAAGTTTTAGGTCATTCGGACGAGGTTTGATAGACGTTTTGATCGAAAGCAGAATTTGGAAGTTTTGAAATTTCTTAGGCTTGAATCCGATGATGATTTGATGTTTTGATGTTGTTTTGAGCGTTCCGAAAGTTGGAACAAGTTTGAATGATGTTATGAGTTGTATTGGCATATTTGGTTGAGGTCTCGAGGGCCTCGGGTGTGTTTCGGGTGGTTAAACAGATCCAATTCTTATTTTGAAAGTTGCAGATTTCTTCAGTTCTGTGTTGCAGAGTTTTGTTCTTCGCGTTCGCAAGAGGGTCCTCGCGTTCGTGAAGAGATATTGAGTGAGGTAGGAGAATTGCCCTTCGTGTTTGCGATGTTGGTCCCGCATTCGCGATGTTGGTCCCGCGTCGTAAAGGGTGAGGCTGAGTGTGCATCGCGAACGTGATATAGGTCCCACGTTCACGTAGAGTAGTTGGAGTTGTTGGGTCCCTAGGATTTTGTGCTTCGCGTAGGTATAGTCGCGTTCGCGAAGGCTTGGACGGTTGAAGCATCATGTTTGTGTGGAGTATGTCACGTTCGCGAATGAGGAATAAGTGGTTAATGGATTTTTGTGCTTTGCGAACGCGAGGCTTTGACCGCATTCGCGAAGAAGGAAAATTTCACCTGGGCAGAATGTTTAAATAGCCATTTTTGCAAGTTTTGGTCTATCTTCCACCATTATTGTGTGATTTGAAGCTTTTTGAGAATGATTGAAGAGGGAATCGAAGGGAAACACTTGGAGGTAACATTTTTGAACTCAATACTCGATTCTATGATGATGTCTAACTAATTAGACATGAAATTTGTGGAATCTAAAGCCTAAAATCGGAGAATTAGGGCTTGAAATTGGAGACTATGATTTGAGGATTTGAGGGGTTGATTGGATTTTGATGTATTTAGTATGTATGAACTCGTGAGAGTATAAGGATTCTAGTTTTGTGATTTTTATCGGAATCCGAGACTGGGCCCAAGGGTTAGGTTTGGGCCAATTTCAGGATTTTTGATGTAAATTGATTATTTTCGAGTGGGCTTTGTTCCCTTAGCATATTTTGATGGTAAGAATCTGTTTTGGTTAGATTTGGAGCATCTGAAAGCCGTGTCGAGGGGCAAAGGCATCTCAGGCTAGAGTTTGGACCAGATTGAGATAAGTAATGATTGTAAATGTTGTCTTGAGGGCATGAAATCCTGGATTTCACATCGTTGTGCTACTCTGAGGTGACACACACGCTAGATGATGAGTGTGGGGTCGTGCATCGTTGAGGATTGTGACTTAGTCTGTCCCGTATGACTGGTAAGTCGCGTATTTGATTGAAAACCATTTGATATCATTGTGTTTTGGAAAGTATTACCATGTTTTAGACTGAATGCCATATTTGGGCCTCGTACCAACTGTTTTGGACCCTTAGGGGATTTTTATTACTATTCCTCAATGTTTTGACTTCATATTTGTACTCAGTCATGTTGTATCCTACTGTTTTCATAACTCAACCGTATTTACTCCGTTTTGATATTTTAAATAATATTTTGGGCTGAGCATCATGTTTTACTGATGCCCGAGTAGCTTGAGAGATTTCTGACTGAGTGAGGCCGAGGGCCTGTGTTGTGAGGATTATTATAGGATTGGGTTGCACGCCGCAACATGTGTACCGATTGTGATATATGAGAGGCCGAGGGCCTACTTTTTTATGCCACGATATGGCTTGTGATAGCGCTTGGGCTGTAGGAGCCCCTCCGGAGTATGAACACCCCCAGTGAGCGCGGGTACACAGTGTGAGATGTGATATTGCCCGAGGGGCTATTGTTGTTTCATGTTATTACCTGATGGGTTGATTACGAGTGATTGTAAGGTAGCTCGAGGGGCTGGTTCTATTGATATTTTGCCCGAGGGGCAGTTGTGGTACGTGTTTTTCCCGAGGGGCTGTTACATTTCTATCCTTTTACTCACTGTTTTCATCACTCGTTTGAAACTATTGAAAGATGGTTTAAAAGGTTTTACTAAAATGAGTTGTTTTACGAGTCTTACTGCTTTACTGCATTGTTCTGGACTTATACTATTTGTTGTTGCGCTATGACGTGGTTTACGTGTTTTCTTACTGCTCAGCTGCCTTTACTTTTATTACTTACTAAGTTGGCATACTCACATCACTCCCTGCACCTTGTGCGCATATCCAGGTGTCTCAGGGCGCGATAGTAAGTGCTGATCAGTCTTCCAGCAGGTCTCCAGAGTTGACTAGGTAGCTGCTTGGTGTTCGCAGCCCAGTGCTTCTCCTTCCTATCTTATTCAACTTTGTATTAGTATTTTGTCTTCAGACTATATTGTCCTTTCTTATTCCTAGACGAGTTGTAGCTACTCATGACTGGTGACACCCCGATGTCGGGCTATGTTATGTTTTTGCACTATTTATTTAACTTATATTATGGTATTTTAGCTAATTAATGGCTTTAAATAACTTATTATAAATGTTTGGTTGGCTTTGGGATTTATGCCGGCTGGCCTAGTTTCACGATAAGCGCCATCACGACCGGGTCTATTTTAGGGTCGTGACAAGTTGGTATAAGAGCTTAGGTTACATAGGTCTCATGAGTCATGAGTAGGTTTAGTAGAGTCTCTTGGATCGGTACAGAGACGTTTGTAGTTATCCTCGGGAGGCTGCAGAACCTTTAAGAAAACTTCATATTCTTGAATTCCTGTCGTGCGAATATGTTGATTCTAGTACTAAACTTCTGTTATTCTATTCTCTCACAGATGGTGAGGACATGTGCTACCGGTCAGGATGGACGACCACCAGTACCACCAACTGGGGCCACTAGAGGCCGAGGACGCGGTAGGGGAAGGGGTGTATCCCGCACAGTAGCTAGGGCAGCACCTGCAGATCCACCAACCACCCCAGTTCATGATCAGGTCCCAATTGTGGATGCTCCAGCAGCACCATCTCAGGCACCGGAGCTGTGCCTATTTTGATTCCAAGCCTTCAGGAGGCCCTGGCCCAGATTCTATCAGTGTGCACTAGCCTAGCTCAGGCGGTCTCAATTACTACAAGCGCAGCTACTCCTCAAGCCGGGGGAGGAACTCAAACTCCCGCCAGTTGCACACCTGAGCAGGTCGTGCAGGGACTTCAGACACTGGGGGCACCTCCAGCCCAGCCAGTTGCAGGTGCTCAGGACTATGTAGCTCCTGTTATGCTAGATGTCGAGCAACACAGTTTGGAGAGGTTTGGTATACTTTAGTCTCTGAATTTCAGTGGTGTAGAGGGAGAGGATGCCCACGGTTCAGACAAGTGTTAGAGGATGCTTCAGATCGCAGGTATTCTGGAGACCAGTGGGGTCTCATTCCCTACTTTTCAGTTCTGCGGGGCTGCACTCAATTGGTGGGAGGCTTACGAGAGGCGTAGGCCGGTTGGCGCAACACCCCTTTCTTGGCAGCCGTTCTCCATTCTCTTTCTGGAGAAGTTTGTACATGAGTCTTGCCGAGAGGAGATGCGCAGGCAGTTCGAGCAGCTTCGGCAGGGTGACAAATCTATTGCAGTATGAGATACAGTTCTCTGAGTTGGCTCGTCATGCGGTCTGGTTGGTTTCCACAGATCAAGAGAGGATCGGAAGGTTTATAGATGGCCTCGGTTTTCAGCTTCGGTTGCTTATGACCAAAGAGTGAGTATCTGGCACTACTTTTGATGAGGTTGTTGACATAACTTGATAGATTGAGATAATTCGTGGGCAAGAGAGGATTGAGAGGGAGGATAAGAGGTCTCGTGGTCAGGGTGGATTCAGTGGTACTCCTCATGAGGGTCAGTTTCAGCACGACAGAGACCGTCCATTCAGGCATGCTCAGTCAGCTCGCTCAGGTTATCGTGGGGCATCATCGGGTCATGATTCTCATAGTTCTCAGCAATGCCATTCATCACTCAGTGCCCTTCCAGCCTAGAGTTTGTCCCATGCTCCATCAGTTCAGGGCTCTTTTATGCTAGTTATCCCGGTGCTAGAGGTTCCCTTTAGTCCCTGTATCCATCACCAGGGAGTTGTTATGAGTGTGGAGAGTTGGGTCACATGTGGAGGCAATGTCCTCATCATCTTGGGGGTTCATCTCAATAGAGGAGTCAGCCATCGACTTCAGCACCAGTTACTTCACCACCCACCCAACTAGCTAGGGGTGGAGGACAATCAACTAGGGTCTCCCTATAGGGGGAGGTTGATTAGGTGGTGATCAGGCCCGTTTCTATGCACTCCCAGCTAGACCCGATGCTATTGCTTCAGATGCTATGATTACAGGTATTGTCTTAGTCTACCACAGAAATGCCTCTGTGTTATTTGATCCTAGTTACACTTTTCATATGTATCATCATATTTTGCTCATTATTTGGATTTTATCTGTTCGTGTATCTACTCTAGTAGGCGATACTATTGTTGTGGACCGCGTATATCGATCGTGTGTGGTGACTATCTAGGGTTTGGAGACCCGAGTGGACCTTTTGTTGCTTTGTATAGTGGGATTTAATGTGATATTGGACATGGATTGGCTATCTTCGTGTCGTGCTATATTAGACTGTCATGCTAAGACAGTGACTTTGGCTATGTCGTGTGTTCCATGGATTGAGTGGCGAGGTTCGACTGATTTTGTTCCCAATAGGGTGATTTCATTTTTGAAAGCCCAGCAGATGGTTGGGAAGGGTTGTCTTTCTTATCTGGCCTTCGTGAGGGATGTTAGTGCAGAGACTCCTAGTATTGATTCTGTTCCAGTAGTGAGAGATTTTCCCGATATCGTATGGCACCAGCGGAGTTGAAGGAGCAGCTTCAGGTACTCTTTGATAAGGGGTTTATTCAGCCTAGTGTGTCGCCTTGGGATGCGCCTGTTTTATTTGTGAAGAAGAAGGATGGCACGATGAGGATGTGCATTGATTACTGGCAGTTGAAAAAAGATACAATAAAGAACAAGTATCATTTGCCTCGTATCGATGATTTATTTGACCAACTTCAGGGAGCGAAAGTGTTCTCCAAGATTGATCTCCGTTCAAGGTATCATCAGCTGAAGATCAAGGACTCGGATATTCTTAAGACAGCTTTTAAGACCCGATATGGTCATTATGAGTTCCTTGTGATGTCTTTTGGGCTGACCAATATCCCAGCAGCGTTCATGCATTTTATGAACAACGTGTTTCGGCCTTATCTCGACTCGTTTGTGATTATTTTCATTGATGATATTTTGGTGTACTCGCATAGTCAGGAGGAGCACGCGGAGCATTTGAGAGTTGTGTTGAAGATATTGAGGGAGGAGAAGCTTTATGCAAAGTTCTCCAAATGTGAGTTTTGGCTCAGTTCAGTGGCTTTATTGGGGAACGTGGTGTCCAGTGAGGGTATTCAGGTTGATCTGAAGAAGATAAAGGCAGTTCAGAGTTGGCCTAGACCGTCCTCAGCTACAGAGATTCGCAGCTTTTTTGGTTTGGCGGGCTACTACTGTCGATTCATTCACGAATTTTCCTATATGGAATCACCCTTGACCAAATTGACTCAAAAGGGTATTCCATTCAGGTAGTCGGATGAGTGTAAGGCGAGCTTTCAGAAGCTTAAGACTGCCTTGACCACAACTCTAATGTTAGTTTTGCCATCAGCTTCATGTTCATATATAGTGTATTGTGATACTTCGAGAGTGGACATTGGGTGTGTGTTGATGCAGGAGGGTAGAGTTATTGCTTATGCTTCTCGTCAATTGAAGCCCCATGAGAAGAACTACCCCATTCATGATTTGGAGTTGGCTGCCATTGTTCACGCGTTGAAAATTTGGAGGCATTATCTTTATGGTGTGTCTTATGAGGTATTTACTGATCATCGTAGCCTTAAGCACTTGTTCAAGTAGAAGGATCTCAATTTGAGATAGCAGAGATGGTTGGAGCTGCTAAAGGACTATGATATTACTATCTCGTACCATCCGGGGAAGGCCAATGTAGTGGCTAATGCTTTGAGTAGGAAGGCGGTGAGTATGTGAAGTCTTGCATTTTTTCCTATTGAGGAGAGACCTCTTGCAGTTGATGTTCAGGCCTTGTCCAATCGGTTTGTGAGGTTGGATATTTCGGAGCCCAATCGGGTCTTAGCTTGTATGGTTTCTCGGTCTTCCTTGTTTGATCGCATCAGATAGTGCCAATATGATGATCCTCATTTGCTTGTCCTTAAGGACAGAGTTCAACACGATGATGCCAGAGATGTGGCTATTGGTGATAACGGGGTGTTAAGGATGCAGGGCCGGATATGCGTGTCCAAAGTAGATGGGCATCAGGAGTTGATTCTAGAGGAGGCCCATAGCTCGCGGTATTCCATCTATCCGGTGCCACGAAAATGTATCAGGATCTGAGACAGTATTATTGGTGGAGGAAAATGAAGAAGGATATTGTGGGATTTGTAGCTTGGTGTCTCAATTGTTAGCAGGTGAAATATGAGCATCTGAGACCGAGTGGATTGCTTCAGCAGATGGATATTCCAGGGTGGAAGTGGGAGCGAATCACCATGGATTTTGTAGTTGGGCTCCTACGGACTTTGAAGAAGTTCGATACTATTTGGGTGATTGTGGATCGCTGACTAAGTCTGCACACTTCATTCCTATGTGAACTACCTATTCTTCGGAGCAGTTGGCAGAGATCTATATTAGAGAGATTGTTCCCTTGCATGGTGTCCCGGTTTCCATCATTTCAGATAGAGTTACTCAGTTTACTTTGCAGTTTTGAAGGGCCATGCAGAGAGACTTGGGTACTCAGGTTGAGTTGAGCACACAGTCCGAACACACTATTTAGATATTGGAGGACATGTTGTGCGCTTGTGTCATTGATTTAGGAGGGTCATGGGATCATTTTCTACCGCTCGCGGAGTTTGCTTATAACAACAGTTATTAGTCGAGTATTCAGATGGCTCCATATGAGGCTTTGTATGGGAGACAGTGTAGATATCCAGTTGTTTGGTTTGAGCTGGGTGAGGCTAGGCTTTTGGGTGCAGACTTGGTGCAGGATGCTTTGGACAAGGTGAAGGTGATCAGGAGCGGCTTCGTACAGTGCAGTCGAGACAAAAGAGTTATGTTGATAGGAAGGTTCGTGATGTGTCCTACATGGTTTGCGAGAAGGTTCTATTGAAGGTTTCACCCATGAAGGGTGTTATGATATTTGGGAAGAAGGGTAAATTGAGTCCTCGGTTCATTAGGCCTTTTGAGGTGCTCTAGAGGATTGGGGAGGTAACTTATGAGCTTGCTTTACAACCAAGCTTATCAAGTGTGCATCCGGTATTTCATGTTTCTATGCTTCGGAAGTATATTGGCGATTTATCTCATGTTTTGGATTTCAACACGGTCTAGTTAGATGATGATTTGACTTATGCAATAGCTATTTTGGAGCGACAGGTCCGAAAGTTGAGGTCAAAGGATATAACTTCAGTGAAAGTGCGGTGGAGAGGTCGGCCCCTAGAGGAGGCTACCTAG